TGCCTCTCTTTGGCCCTCAGGGGTTCTCCTCCTGACAGCATCACAGAGAATAGAAATAAATGAAAAGTCAAAGTGTATTTGATATGTCTTGGTGTATGTGCAGTTCTCTCTCTCTCTCTCTGTGTTACTGCATTGCTCTCCTCCATCATTCTCTGCTTCTTTCAGGACAGTTTTCCTTTTGTTTTTACATACCTTTCTCTCAGTATTTTACTGAGGCTTGTTGCATCGTTTCATTCAATCCTTTCAAGCTGGTGCTAGTCTTTTGGTTGGTTTCTCGTTTTCTTTTTGTATCTTTACGATTCAGTCTTTCGATGTTGATGAATGTTCATATTAATTGAATATTAAAAATAACTAAACGTTTTTTATATTTGAAGAGCTTTCAATAAGTCAGCAGTTCACTGCAGAAAATGGGACCAGCTGCAGAATTACATTATGCAATATTTCTACAAAATAGGGCGCATAGTCTATGTATTCAACCAATGTCATGCCAAGTAAAGAAAAGGTTTGAAAAAACCAAGCTGATTACCACAAGATAGCGACAGACACAGAATATCACGCAGTAAAACATCTTTTATTTTAAGTAAGTTGACATTTTGCAACTTAATTTCTTGCTAAAAGTTGCATGAGAGAACACCTTCCTGAAGGCTTTTGGCAATTTTACATTATTGACAAGACATGATATAACCCATCGTCTACCAGAGCATGTTGTTTTTACATATGTGTTTGTTTGAGGATTAAACAACACATATTGTGGTAATTAGTGTGTTTTTGAGGGTATAGGTCAGGAGGTTACATTTTTTCATTTTGCAGAGAGTGAGCTATCTAGCTGTTTCAGTCTTTATGCTATGTCATGATAACTGGCTGATTGTGGCTGCTTCTTATGAAACATAATGACACCAGAGGGGTCTAAATGTTCTCATCTTTAGTCAAATTCAGTGATAATGTTGGTTTTCCATCACATAATCATGCTTTTAAAGAAGATATGGTGTAAGAATCAACCTCCCAATGTTTGGAACTCACCCTTCATATCTCTGGCCACAGAATCAGCACTATCCAATCTGGTGTATCTACCTGACCCTCTCAGAAACCCACTGCCCTACGGGATACCTGCATGGTATAAAAGAAAGCCTGGTCTTTCAGAGTGCTCCTGTGGTGGGAGGATTGGTGTTTGATGTCCCCTCCACAGTGACTCTGAAAAGAGCAATATAGAAGATTAAGATGACATCAGGGTTGACATGAGAGTTATCCTCTTAATACCCTGACAGGTGCTGTTCATGGCGGCAAAGCAGCCCACAGTGAGTCCTGTAGAGAGCTGGGTCGATTCCCTGAGGCGCGGACATATGCTTTTAGCTCTTGATCCACCCAGTCACTTCTGGACTGGCTTATAAAAGGGGTAGCTGTAACCCTTCCATTTATCAGTTATTTACTTAAAGGTCCCCTATTATACTCTTTTTGATCAATATAGTATAGGTCTCTGACATATACAAAACATGTCTCTGAAGTGTTTGGCTCGAAATACCCAACAGGTCATGCATTGTAGCATCCCATAAACCTCTCTGTTTCAGCCCTGTTTCAAAAGTGCTGATTCTCTGTCTGTTACTTTAGATGAAAATAAGGAGCCACTCCCCACGGCCCTCTGAGAGAGATTTGGTTAAAAATAACACAATGGTGCTCTAGGAGGAGATTCAGGTGATAAGGTGGGCGGGTGTTACCTTGGTTGGTTATTGGCTAATGGTTACACAAGCCAAAAACCGTACATTTTCAGACAGGTTTTTCACAAAAGCACAAAGAGAGAAAATATTTTTTCCTGAACATTTCAGAATCTCTTAACGCAGAGGGGAAACATATTTATGTATAAAAGAGATGAAAAAGTGGATTTTGCACAATAGGTGACCTTTAAATATATCACATGAAGATAAACCGTATGCAACTTTATTTCTAAATGACACTATTCTAGGTGTTACAAGCAGGCTCGTTCTTGTTTTGTTACCACTTTTTGCCTGAATGCGTGTGTAAAAGTAAAAATGCGTGTTATTTTTAAACATGGCTATTCTAGGTAACGTGGATAATGTCACTTCCCCTGCCATAAGCCCAGCGTGTGATACCTGAGGGAGTGTGTGTGTGTGTGTGTGGTTGGCTGTGTAACAGTGCTGTCCTTTTAATCAGCCCCCCTGTGTGTTCCCCCTGTAGAGCTGTCATTGGTTGAGTGATGATGGTGGAGCTGCCACTGTTCATAACATTTAAATCTGCCAGGCAGGGGTGAGATTATACCAGCCCTCACCTGTTGCCCTAATCAAAGGAATTATTACTGCCCCGCTGGATGTTACTAAGAATAGCACAACCTCTAAAAATACACACATTCTCTAAACACACAAAGTGAAAGGGTAGAGAGAGCGAGAGAGCCTATCAGGTAGCAAAGTACATCATTCTTTGTTTGATTTTGTGTATCTGTAATTGGACTATCCAGGAAGTGGTGTTTTCTGGGAGTTTCCATGGTTGCTCAGCGCTCTTGTTTGCTTGGTTTTATTTATTATATTTTATTGGGAAGCTGTTTTTATCAGACTCATGTCAGTACTCTGTATTTGAATGTTTAGTCAGTTTGCTTGGTAGCTGGATTAGTCGACAGTTGATGGATTGGCTATCTATCTGTTATCTGTTTTTTATTATAGCTGTCTGTGTACTTCTCTTTCTGAACCCTACTTCTGTGTTCTCACCAAAATATTCAGCGGAACATAAATCCTGGTCTCGTGTGACACCGCTTCCCTTTTTTGGAGCAAAGTGTATACCCACTGATCCTCTCCCTGCCTGAAGAGGCCTGTGAACAGCTCTCGGCCCGTGAGGCCACTTGACCTCTGGAATATTTGATCCACATAAGCTGCCACTGGGAGAGAGGCCCATCCACATGAAGAGGAGAGGAGAGAAAGATGGAGGGGAAACATATGGAAGCAGATGACTCAAAGGACAGGATGGATGGGTTAATAATGAGCAGATCAATGGGAGATTACATGTTGCAAACATATTAACACCTTGAATCAGCTCCTGATTACTCCATTGATTTTTTTGAATTTAATTCCCTCGTGAAATAAATACTTTTAGGTGAAAATCTGTCATACATACAATATTTGATTATGCTTTATATATGGTTGTATGCAGCTAGCTCAATCATGCCATAATAGTCTTGGATGAGGTCAGGTGTAGGGCTGCTCGATTATGGCAAAAATCATAATCTCGATTATTTGGGTAAATAATTGATATCACGATTATTAAAAACGATTATCCATTTACTTTGAAAACATCCATTTATTGAAGAAAATAAAAATGTGAACAGTATGTTTTTAACAGTTGATTACCCTGAACTTTAAGTATAATTCAACTGAAAAACCAATACATTTTTTTTATTTTTTGAAATACATAAATAAATAATCGTTTTATTTCGATTATGTTGTTTTCATAATCGTTGCAAGCCAAAATCGTAATTGCGATTAAAATACGATTAATTGAGCAGCCCTAGTCAGGTGTCTTCTATTCAAAGGGGCTGAGCGGCATGTTTTGTTCAATTTACACCATTGTTAGTTGATAACACAAATCTATTGAACCCTTCAAAAATAATATGTGCCCATTGGACCAAAGCTGTCTCTCAGAGATGAAAATGGTTGCTTTGTGTTGACCGTTAAAAGATATAATGCCATAAGGTAACTAAAGCAGTATACAGTATACTATTACGAACTTTGCTATTATGGGCAATCTAAAAAAGAACATCTTTGTTTTGTCAGTATGTCCTTTCAGTACCTAGCCTCAATAATACATGTTTGTTTAGCATGGTATGTCCTTGGTGCACATTATGTAAAGGACAGCCTTGAGATCTTCTTTATTATGGGTTTACATGTGATCCAGATAGTAACAGAGATGGTTCTAATAGGAAAGTCCCATCCTCCAGGAAATGGCTACTCAGAAAGTAATAAGCAGAGGGCTTGTGTAAATCATAACAAAAGAATGAAGTGATTATGTGATTGTTTCCAGGATAACAACATACAGTCATTTGGTAATTATGACAACATTAAATGCCATCTTGAATGATAAAGGTTTCCTCCTTTACCAAAATGTTATAGAAAAGACATACTGGATGATAAGCCCTCTGCAAAACGGAGCAAAGGGGTCACTCACAGGACACATTTAGTTTTACTAAGTTTACAAAAATCAACATTAATAATCCCGGATGTTAGTACAATCTGCAGAACAGCAACTTTACCGCACTTGAAAGCTATCCTGCCGTGTCTTCGCTTATCTGGCTAAGTGTATCTTGCAAAGTGACTGTGTAAAGAAACCATTACCATGCGCCACAGTTCCTGTCCTCCTCTGGGCAGAGCAAGATGGAGCTGTGATGAAGAGGTGACGAAGGACACCGGCAGAGTCTAAGTACAGGAAATGTTCAGGAATTTGTCTTGTCCCTAGTGCGGACATACTGTACGGATAAAAGATGGCTTTCCAAGTGGAGGATTATCCTCTTTTCCATCTATAGCTGTGTTCATTTTTCACTCCTTCTCTCTGTCTTTCTTTCATCCCTATTACCCATCTGTACTTTACATTTAAAGCTTTTAGTAAACCATCCTCCTGCTCAGTGACATACCTACCACTCACCAGCCACAGCAGAGCAGATGTGGAGGTGGTGTCAGTTCATTCTAATTTCCCAGCTCATATCTGACGAAAGCAGCCTTTTCTTGAGGGAAGCAGTTTCCCATTACAGGTTTATTAAGCAGAAGCCAGAGGACTGATTACAAATCTGAACAAGCGAAGTAGAATGAAGCCCACCAGGGAGGGCGAATGATTACACCACAGTGTGTGTTGTGCATGCGTATGTTTTAACAGGGTTGTTTTGTGTCGGTGGTGTCTCCCCTGAAGGCATCACAAGCATCTGTAATATAACTGTAAGTGCAAGTACAAGATGATGCTTAAATAACAACGTCTCCTCTTTTCCTTCTATTTATCTCTTGTTTCTTTAGAGTGGTCCAGTGCTGTCCTCCGGTGTTTCCCCTCCCCTTCAATTTTCTGTCGCTGTGTCTGTCACCTGGTAAGTTCACTGTTCACACTTACCTCCCACATATATATACAGTTTAGAGGCTTTCAGTGTTTTTTCATCCTTTACATAATCAGCACCTCTGGCCTGCCTTGAGCTGCACAATAGCGGTCGCCTTTACAAAACAGAGCATCATTCACTGGTAATGTACACGGAGAGGCATTGTGCCAAGTCGGCAGGGTTTATAGCACATGATAGGCATACATACAGCTGATGAGTATACTGATTATGAATGGGTTGGAGTCGACTGCAACCAACTGTGGTAGGTTTCCCAAGCATAATTCAAGTTTTAACGGTGATATGTCCGATCTTTGGGGTAATAATCACCTTTATATTTATGTATGCTTACTCAAACAGGATGTCTCCTTTTGCTATTTCTGAATGACAACTGTGTTGTGCAGAATCTGAATGCGGGAACAGACTAGCATTGATTACATGAAGTCATCTTCTGTATTCACGTGCCACTCAGAATCCAGTTTATTGCCAAGCTTTGACCTCCATAATTTGTGACCATGGTCAAAGGATTATACCTCCTAATATTAAGCGGACAATTCAGCAAGTGCTTTTTGCACGTACCCAGGAAGCCTAAACACAAGCCAGCTCTAATGTTGAAGGCCCAGCTATCTGTTATCACCAATTACAGGGCTTGTTTACTCGAATGCAGGGACTTGGTGGGTCTGTTTTGTGTGGCTGTGTGTTTGTGGGTCGGGTTTTTAATGATGGGAGTAGAAAGTCTCTGTTTAGATATGTATGTTCTCTGGTTAGGCCTAAGGGGTGGTCCCTGTGTTTGTGTCTATAAATACACACTGGGATCCCGTTCAGTGGCTGAAACTCTCCAGTTTGTGTGTATGGTCTGTGTGTGTTTATGACACCGCTGCAGCCAGGCGAGCCTGAGGCTATTACTGGCCAGCCGGGTTGCTATGGAGACCAGTGGTGTCAGAGAAGAGCAACATCTGTGGGGTTGTTAGTCAGACAGGTTTTCCTCTTACTGTCTTCCCTCCTTTTTCACCCATCAGTCCTGTAGTCTAAAAACTCTCTGCCTGGGAACGCTGAGCAGAATTATGAAAATGTTCCAGTGTCGCATCATTAGTGTTTTCAAACATTGGTAAACATGGCCCTTAAGAGTGGAACTGATTTTTAAGAGCGGTAATTTCTTGGCTAATAGTTCAGCTGCCTACGCTTAATCAGGCTCACAGTGGGCCCTCAGGCTGTGTCAGTCAGCGGGGATCCACTCGGAGACTCTTCACCAGTGGAAAGCACACATTCTGGGGAAGCATTTAACCTCCTGCCCCCTTCCTGCTCCTTCCTGCTCCCTCTCTCCAAAGCTCCCCTCTCTATATGGACATGTTCTATTTCCACAGCTCCTTTCTTCTGGCTGCCTTATCAGTAGCTCAGCAGGGCATACATTCTTATTGAATAGGTACTTATTTGGGCAATAATTTGCAAATTCAGCAACCCCTCCTCCCTCCACTGTCCTCACCCTGCCCACTTCCCCTTCTCTCAAACACTCCATCATATTGGTATTACTCATTTTGAGTTGTTCTGTCTTTTCTGGGTTCCCCCGTGTCCCCCTCTGGGATTGCAACTTTAAGGAGAATGTGCGAAACGGCTGCATCTTTGGCTAGAATTTCAGACTTCCATAATGGAGTTTGTTTGTATTATTGAGTATTCATTCATTTGGAACATGTTAATCCCCTTTAGGTACAGTGTCTTACCCTGTGGTGCAATTGTGCAGTAGCCAGAGCAGACCGTGAACTCTAAGTGCATTGAAGTTCATCTGAGGAGAATTTAATCTTTTGCAAATGAAACGTAGAGGCTTCTCACCTCGCATAGGTCAACCGGAATATGTTTTATGTGTATCTGCAGTATTTCTGACCATGTTTGGGTAAAGACCTGGCCCCATAGAGCCCTCAGCAGGGTATATGTAGCTGGGCAAACCAAACCTTCAACCTCCTAATCTGGTCTGAAGTAGACGGTCACACACAGGACAGTGCAGCACAGGGTCTGTGATGTAACAGTCATTTGGGGATAATTTTGTATTTTCACTCTGTTTGTAGCCTTTATTTAACCAGGCTTCGCACTGCAAAGGCCAGTTACCTAACGTTCATGCCTAAATTAACAGGCTTTCACAGGTTGCCCTGCTCCTACATTCCTCACCTCCAAGTGGAACATCAATCTATGTATGCCGAGATTTAGACTAAGCCTTGGGTTAGATACTTGCTGTGTCCTCTCATACCTCCATGAATATAACATGACCGTCAAAGATACAGTGAATGAATATGTAAACTACTCTATCAAGAAATAATTTCTGCAAAGAACCTAATTTTGTGTTCGGAAAAGAATGTTACTTCCTGAGCAAGGGCTTTTGACATAATAAGTTAAAGAAAGGAAATGTGTCACATCCACATCACTCAAAATATTGTACCCATGGTATGTCCAACACTTGCTAGACTTTTGAGTCTTTCTAATACCACTGTTCCGGTGGGATGTTTCTATTATTAACCAGACACGGATACCGTCTCCTCACAAGCTCCTCATGAAAAATAGTCTTTTCCATGTTCCATTTGCTGGCTTCAGTTTCACATATTCATCACTGAGCATAGACTGAGGATTTCTAGTTATATTTAAGTCTCCTATTCCACTTACAAAGCAGCTTAAACGCTCACTCTAATAGTCCACTCTAAAGTCCCCATAGTTTTGCAGAAATTATACAGTTAATTATCTTCCTAGAAAGGTAAGTTTGTTCTGTTCCCATCTTTCCAAATAACTTGATTTCTTTTTGCATCCATTATACTTGCAAATATAAGTTCCCGGGTTAAGTGCCTCTACCTCATTACATTCAGGGAACTCCCTCACTAAGTGCCTTTTTAAACAGACACACAATCACACATGCGTGCACACACAGTTAAACACGCAGTGCTCTAAATACTTCTGATTAAGATGCTGATAACCCGGGGACAGCCCTTACCCCTCTCTCACCTCCTTCTCTCGTGTTCCCTCCAAGGGGCCTCAGTATTCCCCCAGCGATGGTAGTCATTGGCCCCCGGGTCACAAGAGAAATACACACACACGTCCACATTTGGCAGAGGCTTCAGGGCATCATTTATTAGGTGGCTACTCGGTCCATTAGGCCATGTGTTAAATTCTTTGTGTAACTCAATTTGGCAGAGGGTGTACTTGGATGACTATATATAGAACTCTTTGAGCATGTGTGTCCCAGTATGGGTGTGTTTTTATGATCTCATTTATATCTTCATCTGTGGATCTGTAGGAGTGACTCTGCAAACTGACCCAACAAAGGTCCAGTGTTTGAAAGTGAGGGAGATCCTACTGCTGCATTCTAACACAGGGAGAGTCTTATTGACGTCCATGCTGTATGTTTGATATTTTGTGGCAAGTGCTCACATGTGGACATGGGTTCTGATCGAGCCCAGCTGGGCACTGAAGTCAGTGTGTGTGACTGAAAGACAGCCAGGTTCCAATATCCCAGGCTCGAGTCAATTATGTAACCCATGAGTGAGCAGGGTGATCTCCACTATAAAAGGCAAAGTAGAGGGTAGGAGAGAGTCATTTGGCTTGGAGAAATACATTCTTCCCTTCAACAGTACAAAATACAATACAAAACAAACCTTCCATCAGCCATCTGGCCACCAAAAATGTTTTTTCGTAGCTGTCAAATATTTTATATCAGTGTGTAATCAAAAAAGAAAAGAGTGCAGTGCTAAAGTTTCAAAAAGTATTCATCAAATGTTAGACATAATTGACAGAAGAGTAAAAGTAGATATTTTTATTTGCATTTTCTGGAGAATCAGATGTGACCTTTGAAGATATATAACACCCAATAGGGTCATTTAAGACTATTTTAATTGAAATAATTGGTATATCAACATTACAAATCAGTTGTTATGACCAATGATTTTCCACTTTGATTTTAAGAAGAGGATTATGGAGGGTGGTACTGAGCTGGAATCCATTTAATAGTATGGTCATTGGTCACTGATCACTACTTATGTACCTGCAATTTTCTCATAATCCATTGTGTGAGTTTGTGGATTGTGTGTGATATCCCCCGGTGCTCACTTGTTGTTTGCTCTAGTTTGACACCTTGCATCTGAAGCCCCAGCCACACGAGGACGATAACGGTTGTATCTGCTACAGTTCACTATCAGATAGACCAGGGGTAGCCAACACGGTGCCCGGGCAATCAGTCGCCCGCAGGGGCAACGTGAGGCGCCCGCTGGGCACGTTCTAAAAATAGCTCGCCAAGAAAATCCAAAATGTATAAAATACACAAAACAAAAAAGGAAATGTAATTTAAAGAATCGACGCCATGCATAAACAAAACCTAAATCATAGCGAACTCTATATACTTACTACAACTCTATCTATCTAAAACCCCTCCTCCCCCCACCCCCACAATGAATATCGACCAATCACGTTCTTGCTTGATTTGCGGGACCAGCGTTGTAGTCGGGAAGAAAAGCTTCTACACATCAGCCCCATTGAACAGCCTATCATGCCAGCCTATACAACACACGAGGGCCAGAGATTACTGTGTGTGTTGTAACTTGCATATATATTTATTCCACTTGACGCACACACACACACACGCATGGCGTAATCTCCAAGGGGGACATGTCCCCAACACTTTTCGAAATCCCGTTTGTGTCCCCCCACTTTACAAATATGTTTATTATTATTTTTTAACGCAAGCCGTCATCGCCACGGAGGAGCAGCGTGTGCGTGCGTGCGTGCGTGCGTGCGTGCGTGTGTGTGTGTGTGTCCCTTTATCTATTTAATATAGATAAAGTAAGAAATCATTCCAATGTGTACTATAGGACGGTACAAAAAACAGTTTAAAAGGGGAGTGATTAGTAAAATATGCATAAATAAAAAGAAAGAATGCTAACTAGGTAACACAAGATAAGAATAAACAAGTTTAAATTATTTGTTTTTGGTTGTGATAAAGATGTTTGGATTATTGAAAAGTATAC